TAAACTGAAGAAGTAAGTTTACAAACATATAGTCCATTCAATTATCTTTCATTTGATACCTCATTTTGTCTTACAAACCCAACAATAAAATTTTAAATAGTTTTGTAATCCCAACCTCTCATTTCTGGTACCCGGGTACCAATAGTCGCAGCCTTTCTAAAAACTTATTACTCTGGTTTTCTTTCACTGAAATAATTATTAATAAAAATAAACAGATCACCAAGTCGATGATCAGTATTATTTCATTTACTGTATTGATTTTATTGATTGTTCATTCATTGAAGAGATAAGTTATCCATTTATCTTTCACGTAGATTACAGAATGTGATAACAGAGTACATGTGTATGTCATTGTAAGGACTTTATGTATGATTGTTGTACATCGAAGTTATAAGTGTTTGGGTGTGTTATACATTAGCACGCAACACATGTGCCAGTAATACGAACTGTGTAGTTATGCTCAAATTATGAGGACATTCCTTATAAATAATAATAATAATAAAGTTTATTTTAAAAACAAGCTTCATTCCCAAAAACTCGAAGCGAGGTACAAAGTCAACCATTTTATAAAGAGAAATAAGAACAATCTGAAATTTACCACATTTAAAAAACAGACGCAACAATATAAAGCTACATACGAGCATACCAAGTCAAAGTCATTCATTCCGCTTCAACCATAAGCAACACAGGCCAATATACATTAACTGGAAAAGATGGTAGATAGCATCACCCCCAGAAGGTGTTTGCGAAATAGATGTGTTTTTTAAATCGGTTTTAAAGGACTCCAGTGTCTGGCTGTTTCTGATCTTGACTGGAAGGGCGTTCCAAATTGTTTGGCCGGCAAATGCAAAAGTGCGCCTTCCGTAAATCTCAAGGCAAACACACGGTATCGATATTTAGCCACTATTGGATGATGTAGGTCATGTCTCTTTGTAAGTTGCCTTGTAGGTCATGTCAGCCTGTAACTTTAAGTGATATTGTGCGTCGTGTGTCATTCTTTAAGTGACCTTGTAGGTCACCTCAGACCTACCAGCTTAGTCCAGTTGTTGATATCAGATGACGTCAAAGTTAAGACACAAACTAACTTGCTGTAGAGACACTGGAGCCCATTTCTGAACACTGAAGTCTGGACTGTCCAATAGACTGAACTCACTAGTTATATTACCATAGTTACCACATAACATATGCAGGGCAGAAAACAGCATTTTAAAATAAAGAATCGTCAACTGATAAAATCATATGCAGTAAAACCATGTAGACAATATCACATTTCTTCCCATGACGTTATTTCTCAATGTTTGACTTCACGGCCCAATGCTTGACGTCACGATTCAATTTTTGACGTCACTTCCCAATGTCTGACGTCATTTCTCAATGTTTTACCTTTATCTTTCCTATATCTACCTAATTTGATACAAGCCGCAAGCCAGTCTTGTGTCAATGGTGCTCAGATGCCAGTCTTGTGTCAATGGTGCTCAGATGCCAGTCTTGTGTCAATGGTGCTCAGATGCCAGTCTTGTGTCAATGGTGCTCAGAAGCCAGTCTTGTGTCAATGGTGCTCAGATGCCAGTCTTGTGTCAATGGTGCTCAGATGCCAGTCTTGTGTCAATGGTGCTCAGAAGCCAGTCTTGTGTCAATGGTGCTCAGACGCCAGTCTTGTGTCAATGGTGCTCAGATGCCAGTCTTGTGTCAATGGTGCTCAGAAGCCAGTCTGGTGTCAATGATGCTCAGAAGCCAGTCTTTTGTTTTTGATGCTCAGAAGCCAGTCTTGTGTCAATGATTCTCAAAAGCCTGTCTTGTGTTTATGATTCTCAGAAGCCAGTCTTGTGTCAATGGTGCTCAGAAGCCAGTCTTGTGTCAATGGTGCTCAGAAGCCAGTCTCGTGACAATGATGCTCAGAAGCCAGTCTTGTGTTTATGATGCTCAGAAGCCAGTTTTGTGTTTATGATTCTCAGAAGCCAGTCTTTGTCATTGATACAAAGTAGCTCTTCTTGTGTCATTGATACTCAGAAGCCAGTCTGACAATATATTCTACTTGTATAAAATATGCACGCCGTCGTCATGGTTACGTATGTGATCCTAAGTCGTCATGAAATGATCTAAACTGAAGCCAAACATTTGTCCTAAGAATCGGACTGCAAAAATGATGCACCCAAACATCATATCAGATTCTCTGATCTTATCCGACATTCTCCCCCTTCCTTTGGTCAGAACTAAGTGGACCCTCCACGTGACCCATCGATGGCCCCCCCCCCCCACACCCCGTTACCT